AATTAATAAAAAGATTTTATAATATTATTTGAATATTTAAACCATTATAAAATCAATATCTTTAATTTTATAAATCCAAAAATTATAAATAAAATATCCAGGGGTTCATAAAAATTCAAATAATAATCCTAAAAATATTTTCATTATACAACAAACACAATTAAATTAATTTGATGGGAAATGATCCATATGGTTTAGGAATCAACAATCATGGGGCACTCCACCTTCAACTATGGATTACAGACCACACTTGCTTTATCAAGCTGACCCAGTGTTTCCCATGACCCACAGTCCAAGCATGGGCTCATTAGCAGGTCACCAAAATCCGACCGATGAGCCAAGGGGTCGCAATCCTAGTCTGTGGATTTCAGGTCCTCCTCTAGAGACGAGTTAATGTCACCTAGACCTGATGCGACCACAGCTCCTATAGTGCATAGGGGTATCTCTCGCACATGCATACGCTTCATCCTAAAAGGTGGATTTTTAGCTTTCCCGAATGATCTATTGATATGCATGCCGTGTGATGGCACATGGATGAGGCTTTGACCCCTATCTCTATAGGCCACCATCACATACAAGGGTCACACAGTCCCTCGGCTCACTCATCTGAGCAGATTCTCGACCTCATCAAGGGCTAACTCATTAGAACCCTTCTCGGTTTGTTCTTTATGCCCAAGTAATATGATTTTCCCAACTGACTGGCCTAGATCGTCAAGCACAATCCGGTATCAGCAAACATCGTTTGCGTAGTATGGTCCACGAGGGACCACACTCCCACTGAGTTCATGTTCCATTACAGCATTTCATTTTTACAAGCACTCATAAGGCCTTTAAAGGCCACATAAACCCAACATGGTATTCCCTGTTTGCTGAACCGAGTTTGCATGTAAATGAAACAATGTCTTTATAAACATTTGGAACTCTTCCGCAGCCCATATTCAACATCAATAAAAAGCTTTGAATCTATCTCCCATCTTGTTGTCTTTTCCTGGTTATTTGGAGTTCATTTCATTTTATTTTGCAACGACACATTTTGGGGGCGATCAAGCTTATATGCTCAAGACCTCAGCCAATTAGTTTAAAAAGCATCGAAAAAATTCCTTGACAGCATGTAGAGGGTCTCCCTCCCTGACAAAATATGGTTAACTTGGTAAGAAGGAAACTGGAGGGTGAAAGAGAACCAAACCCAACTATTTAAGCAGAGATGATACTAATAAAACTTTAAACACGAAATACAATCACGGATACTCACATACCACCCTAAAAAGGCCCACCTTATATATACAGAGATAGCACTACACTTTTTTATTTTTAATTTTGTTCTCAATTACTCTATTCGTTCAATAGTTTGCTAGGTGCTAGCGCACTCCAGCAAAAAAACAGATGCACTAACACGCAACGGCTTTCTCGCTAACCATTGCTTCTTGCTTTCAAGCAGATATTGAAAACCATATCTAGGAGAGATGGGAGCTTTCCCCTTCTCAGTAAGAGGTTTTAGTGTGGCAATTAGAATGTTGTAATGACATCCTTTATAAATAGGGAGCTCTCCCAAGCTCCTTGTATTTTAGTCATTGCATATATATTCTGTAGTTATTTCACATACAACCAGTGGGATACTTGGTTCAATCCCCTCATTAACTTAGCACAAGGAAAAGAAAAAGCTTTCTGTGGTAACAAGAATCATGAGATCAACGATGATGCAATTTCATGACACGCTTACAACAAATGTTGTCTTGACACTATGTTTACCATTGGACCAAGTGATAGACCCAAACGCATCCTTCTTTATGGATGAACCAGAAGAGGCAAAGGTTACTTGATAGCTTAGGCTCTTGGAAGTCTCAGTGAATTGTAGGCGATCAGGCGACACCTTGACATCCAACCCTTTGGGAGCTTTGACAGTCGCAGTATAAATGGTTTCCATGTCAATGCCAACATTTGTGACAGTTCTCTTAACCGTCTTCCCTGACTTGTTGTCGAGATTTACTATGGCGATGGATGGATAGTTGAGGTCAGAAATAGACTCTATGGAAGAATTCGAAGGGCAGGTATAGTTTCCTGTTTTGCCTGATATGATTTTGATTGAAGAGGAATTGTACCCATAGTTGCAAAGGAAGAAGAAATAATCTTCTCCTGAAGTTTCATATATGAGGCCTGGTTGTAATGCTCCCGTTGGGTTAACTTCCCCAGTTCCATAATCGTAAGGGGTGGCTGATGAACCTGAATCTGTGGTCATTTGAGCTTTGGAATTATCTGTTTCAGTTGCTGCACAAGAACATGAACCACAATGATTATAATCATAGGCATACCCCGCATTGAAAGAGACATTCAGTGCATGTGAGTGGCTCTATAAATAATAACCTTTTATTTTTTGCTCGCAGTTCCCTGATAGTTGACATTTTCTTTTTAACAATTCCAACTCTGCCAGCTTGATTGGAAAGGAAAGTCAGAACACTATCTGATAAATGGGATTGTACTACAATGATACATGTAGCATAGTAACAAAATGTTACATGGTTGTCTCAATGAATAGCCTTAAAAGATGACTTGTTTTTCTCTCGAGTGAACAATGGGGGGCCATTGCCAAAGAAGGCTCATCTCATCATGCTCAAGTTATGAAACGTGTATCAGAATATTATTTCGATTTGCAGAGTTCCAATTAGCCTCCTAAATTTGTTTATTTTCATCCCTGGGGTTGTCTGTGAATAGGGAAATTCTAGAATAGCATAGACAATGGAAAAAGGTACTGCCAAATGATCATCACTGTCCACCGAAACGATGAAGAGAGATGAATGGAGACAATGAGAGGTGGGACCACCATCAAATAAATGAATTACAATCCACACCCATGAGTCCGTCATTCAATAGCTTTCCCACTAGGAATTGTATATTGCAAGATGTAATTATACATTGTTAGTTTTAATACAAGAAGAGCCACAATCATTTCTAGCTGTCAAGTGTGAAATTGAGCAGCTAGGAGTGTTTAGATTTTTTGGACAAAGTTTAAAAAAAAAAATCTCTAACATTGGACACAATCATTGACAAGTCCCTAACCATCTGCTTTTACATATGATGCAACCTTCGTGTACTAAAGGTAATTGCATATTTGCTCTTTCCATAATCTATTGAATTATCATTATTATAATTTATAATATACTTCCTTTTGTGGTGCTCCCACTAAAATCCATACCTGTGGTCATAATGGCCGATCTTATGGCAGATGGGGACCAAGTAGGATGCTTGGATTTGATGAGTGCAGCAATACCACTAACATGGGGGCATGCCATCGAGGTGCCTGAGAGTAGGTTGAATTGTGAAGGACTCTGACCGGGAGGAACCGATGATCCACTTGTTGGTATGTATGCCGCCAAAATGTTCACACCTGGTGCTGCAACATCCGGCTGCAACGACCAACATGACCCCAGCTCTCTTTTCAGCATCGCCAAAACAAATGGATTTCTCTCTTTTCAGTGAAATTAATACCCAGATCTACCTTAATTCTTATTTTTGTTACCATCCTAATTCTGTTGAATCATTTTTTCTTATGGAGAATAAGCAGGGACAGTTTCAGATTAGTCTGTTGTCTCCCCGCAAATTTCAATGGGAAAAATGTCAGTCGGCTTGGGAGTTAAGTTAGAACCAGGTCCATCCTGATGATTGCTCATACATGAAAAGAAGTTCGGCACATAATTCAGTAGAGGGGAAACTACCAAAAGAAAGCACTAAATTTAGTGAAATAAAGTGATATTTGGGAGAGACACAATGGGCAAAAGCACTTGCCTTGAGAATGTTCTTTGTGTCAGTGGATGGCCCTCTTGAAGAGAAGTAAGCCACAGTCGGCGCAGGCTTGAACTTTGTCACAGCAACTGTTGGAAGAATGGTCGCAACTGGGTTTCTATAACAATTTTATGCTACCATCATTTGCTGGTACGCCTTAAAAGGCAATTGGAAGCAAGCATGACACTGGCATGTTGCTCCAAAATAATTAGGTATTGTATACTGTAATACTACTTATCTTTGTTACAAAGAGGTCACAATTACTTCTTGCCATTAAATGTGAAATTGTAGGACTTAGGATATGCTATAAAATTCAAGAGATTTTTTTAAACTTTCATTCGAGTCAATAACACTGAAAACCACCTAAATTGAAATCCCAAGGACAATAGTGATTGTGACTTTCTTATGTCAGAAGTAAATTGTCCTTTTGTATAATTTTCGAAACAACTAAGGCCAGTTTTTACCTTGTGGAGTTTATGTGGGAAAGTACTTCCTTGGCTGAGGCTGAAGAGAGAGCAGTTGCAGGAAAAGTGTCATAGTCAAAGGCCACATATCTCTCCTCGTTGTCAACCAATGCCACTCCAAACCCCCCTAAGCTCTTCACTCCATTCATCTTTTCTTTCTTGGAGTACCCTTGATCTGTGTGTTGGCATAATACGATTTTTCCTTTGATCTTTTCTCCATCCAAACTTCCCGGATTGCAATTGCTATATGGCCCATCAATAAAAAGAAACAACATAAGAGAGAGAGAGATAATTTAGGAGGGGGGGCGGGGGTGGGGGGCGGGGGGGGGGCGGAGAGGTAAGTATAGT